AAAAAATGTTTAATAAAGTAAACAAATAAATATTAAGCTTTTCCTTTTTGTAAATTTTGATATCCTTTAGATCATGATTGTTCTTTATTTCATAAATTACGGTTTCATATTTTTAATTTTGTAATTTCTGCATGCCATCTTACCAGATTTAAAGTGATGATCTATAATCCGGAATCGCCGAAGTCCCGACGAGTCCGGATTAACGACTTTTCACTGTACTACAGTTTTCCAAATTCCCCCCCTTTTCCGATTAAAGAACTGTAATTCGTCCATTAATGTCACATGACATATCTCATGATCTCATATTCGAAAGATCAGCCGAAATGTTTAATAAGACAAACAAATAAATATTAAACTTTTTTTTTTTTTTTTTTTTTTTTTTTTTTTTTTTTTTTTTTTTTGTAAATTTTGATGCCCTTTTAGATCATAAATACTTTTCATTATTTCATAAATCATGATTTCATATTTTTAATTTTATAATTTCTGCATGCTATCTTACTAGATCTAAACTGATGATCTAATATCTGGAAAAATCCCAAATCTGGAATCGCCGAAGTCCCGATGAGTTCGGATTTCGGACTTTGTACTGTACATTGCTTGTTTTGAGCTTTAGATGTTAGAATGGCTGAATTTTGTAAGATTAATTTGAATTTCTGTATGATTTGGAATGAAAGGGGAAAAGTGCATTAACTGACTGGTGTGTAAATGAAGGTTTACTTAGTAGCCATTATAAATGTCCTGTTTGTTTGAGGGAAATGCGTATGGTAGAACGCCAAAGGATATTGACCCTACGGAGGATATTTTTTACTCTTATTTTTGAATTTATGTGGTGATGCCTATATGCGGATTCTAGTTCAGATAATTTTAGGAAGCTTTTGGATGTTGTTAAGGAATTTTGTGTGTTCCAGTTTGAAGAACTCAGAAATTTCTAAATAAAATAAGCGGATATTTGCTTTGTGTAGCGCTTAGATGCATAAAATGAATTTCGTTTTTTATGTTATTTTATTATTTGGTTTAAAATGTAGTTTATTGAGATTTTGTAGTTTTTCGACTCTACTGTAAAATTAGGTACTCCTTTGACTTGAGTAAAAATAGATCAATGTGTACATGGAGAAAGCCAAGAGAGTGTGCAATGTCAAGTTTTGTGCAATTCTCTGATAATTTTTTAAGTGAAAATAGGTCGATGTGTACATGGATACCAAGTTTATGCAATTCTTTGACTTGTTATTTTGTCTTCATGTAGCGGCAATTTTTATGCCAAAAATTGCTGCTACACAAAGCCAAAATAACAAGTCAAAGAACTGCACAAACTCAGTATCCATGTACCACCAAAAATCACCATTTTTTGCCAAGGGGCACCTGTAAATAAAAATATATTGTATACCGATTAAATATGTATAAAATGCTCTATCAATTAAATAAAAAAAAATGAAGGGGGGGGAAGTATTCAGTTTGTGATAAAAACTAAAATAATCTTTTTTAAACCATTGAATTAGCTTTAAAATAAGATACTGAGTGGAAGTTTCATACTGCAGACTATGTCAGTTTGTTAAGCTTCATTTTAAAAGTTTTTAAAATCAATGTTAAAATTTTTAAAAGAAATACAAAATAGCAATAAATATATTTTGCCAGTTGTTTATTACATGCTGTTTTTTTAAAGTGCTGGTGTATTTTGAAGATTTTTTTCTGTAATACAAAATTTTAATATTCTGCAGTACAATTTGTTGAATTTTTCTGCATAAAAATGAGGAAAAATTTGCTTATATTAAAAATATTGACAGATATTTCTCGTTCAGTGGTTTTAAATACAGTAGAACCTCTATTAATTGGGTTTCTGTTCATTGGGAAAATGCAGTAACATTGTAAAGGGTACATAAAAAATCAATAACAAATTCTGTTATCAGTAATTGGCCGCTCTTATTAGTATTGGGTCATTTAAAGACCTTCTTATCATGCATTGTCATGAAAGACATGATTACATGGATTAAAAACGAAAGCATCTGACTGACAACGAATTTATAGGCATGTTTTAGAGGATAAAATGATGTGAAGACATTGCTTGCAGTAATGGTTCAAAATGGATAAATGTAGAAATGAATCAAATTTTCTTGTTTTTGGTGATGAAAATATCATTTGTGCCTTTTGATCTAGAGAACAATGAAAGTGATACTGAGGATGACAATGAAATGAACAGGGGAAAATTAGCCTTGCTGAAAGTTTAAGAAAAATCTTTAATAAGAATAATGGATTTTTTTCCCAAAATAATGGTAATAATATCTTATAAAAATGAATCTGAGAAGCTTAACAGAATTTCACAATTTACTTAAATTTTGATGGAATTTTTTTTATTCCAATTTTTCTTGAGAATTTTCAAGATAAAATAGAATTTTGTATGGATTATTTATTTAATAGAATGCAGAAAATTTAGTTTGCTAATAAAACAGTTTGTTAAAATGTTAATAGTAATGCATGCATTTAAAACTGATTTCATGTATCTATTATAATATATGAACTTAGTTTTAGAATTTTCAAATAAACAATTTCAGAAAATCGTGTCAAAAGTAGAATTACAGTGATTTAAAACTTAGTCTATATTAACAGAGTTTTCAATTATCTGAGGTAGCTATTCTCCTAGTTACCTCAGGTAATTGACTGTACATCAATAACTGTGCCCTTTTTTTCTCCTCTTTTTAATCCTAAATAATATTATAAAATTCAGTTTTAATTTGTTTTAGTTGAATAATTTAGGTGTATCGGGTAACTGAAGAGTTTTAAATTTTAACTCTTTGCTGATGCTTCAGTGGTGACATTGTAATAAAAGCAGATAATTCTGTTGTTGCTACTGTAATGATTTGGATCAGCCTCTAAAAATAACATTTTTTACATGTAAGGAAGATATTTTGGCATATGTTTATTGCAATCCGTCTGGTGTCAGAGCTGGTTGTTTCTTCTCATCATGCCATTGTCAACATATTCTGTACCCTAAAATGGAAGGAAATAGCGGATTATGAAAAAACGGAAGTGAATTTAATGAAATTGTATGTAATTAATTTATATATCACATACAATAAAATTGTGAAGAAAAGTCAAATCATGACAGTATTAAAGCATTTGAAATATGTTAAACTCCTAGTTGACTAACTGACTAAAATTTTCAATAAAAAAGATCTACAGCTTCATTTTCTGAGATCAAATTAAACAGAAAACTTCATGAAAGATACAAAAGGGGAAAAAAAAAAATTATTGTGTTGTTTGCTCCAACAGACAGAAGCTAGGTAAAAGCTATGAAACCAGTGAATACTTATCCTTCTAGGCCAAGAATGTACCTTTAAGATTATTTTTCAATATACCATAAAATGAGAAAATTCGAAAAATAATTTTAATTTTTAGAATTGTTATACTTTTTTATATTGTAATTATATTAATAAAGCTTTTTTTTTTTTTTTTATAATGACAAGGCCTGGTCTTCAATTTTTCCCAGTGGGACATTTGTGAATAACCTTGTAGTAGCTGGTAGCTCATAGTCAAAATGTCTCAAATTTGCTGAAAGGGCGTATAAAAAAACTGTTTGGAGTGCAAAGTGTTAAAATATTTTTTTTAAAACTAAATATTCTGTACTAGGGAAAATTCGGAGACAATGCTAATGAAAATGAAGCATATAGTTATCTCTTTACAATGACATATGTTGAATTTCATTTTCTGTTTCTTGTTTGGCTCACTAATGTTTTTTCTGGGCTCTGTTATAATATCAGATTTATTTATCAAATATTGCTTTTACTCCGGTTAGTTATAAATCAATTATTATTTTTAGAACACTTTGTATTTTTTCTGTTATTACCTTTTAGTTCTTCCTATTTAAAATTTATCTGTATGGTGTGATCATGTTGATTTTTTTTACTGTACATGAAAGTGGGTCGATGAATTTACTACTTTTAAAACCTGCTATCCTTAACATGTTTCTTACTATTTGATTACTATTTTTTTATCTACAGTAGCCTTATGCAGATTAAATAAAACATATTTTTATGTTTAATAATTCTTTTGTGTATAATTTCAGTTAGCACTTTTATAGTTTGATACTAGTTAATAATACATTACTATTGCATTACAATTTTAAATGTTTGTGGATTCAAAAGGAACATGGCAAATGTTGCCAAATCGATGTTTTATTTGATAGGAAGTGGTTTTGATAGAAAGAATATTTTACTAATCTACCTATCTCAAAAGTTATAATTTAATAAATTGGGCAACCCTTATCTTTGCCACATAACAACAGATTGTACGTCAGAGATAAAGGTTGCAAAATTGTGCTGTATCTGTTTAGATATGTGTTATGCCAGCAAAGTATTCTTTTCTGAGTATCTGTTATTGAGTCAAGAGTCACTGATTTCTGTCTTATAGTAAAAGGTATTGAAAAATTTTTATATGTTATTGAAATACTTTATTAAAAATTGTATTGGGTAAAGTATTGTATTCTTGCAGATTTTCTTTCAGCATCAGAAATATTGTTTTGACTTAATAGTTAGGTAGTTAATTCCATTCAAGTAGCTCTTTAATTTAAAATTTGTACTTTGACTGGAATTCTTAAATTCATATTAGAAAATTGTTGTGTAGTTAGTCTATTCTAGTTTTAGCTCAGCTTAGCAAAATACTAACCACATCTGAAAAATCAGTATGTCTAAAATGATCTTTCAAAATTCTTATACCTCAGATATTTTTGGAAAATTATATTCTATAATGTTCCCTGCATTTTATATAATTTAGGATGAACACATGGAGTATTTTTAAATGATTTATAAAATGTTCCAAATAAGTTAATATAGAAATAACTACATAAATACTAATGAAAAATTTATTTTAATTAAAAAAGCTTGAAAATCAGATATTGAAACTTTTGAGAAATAATTCTGTTTATATTTCTATAATTAATTGCAATTCTGTGTTATGAATTTTGCATTATGTGCCTTAAAATGTAATTAATTTTGGATTTTTTTCAGCAGACATCATGATTTTGTTGATAGGACTTCTGCTGACAGCTCTAACTTTTGCAGTAAGTAATCCTATGGTAATTTCCTGTTATGTTTTACCACCAATCCTCGAATTCCATATCACAGATTATGTTCTTACTGCATTAATATAAATATTAACAAGACATAGTGCACAATAAAAATTAAGCTTTATTTAGGAACATCGCGCATACTCCCCGACAGCCTGCCTGTTTCGCTCTGCTCGCTACTCGTAAGAAATTTCTCCTCTAGGGTTGCCACAGATATCGGAGGGTGCAAGGCGCGCTCCTTATCGCCATCACCACAGAGTTTCCCCCCAGTTCCTTTAATGACTATTCAAAGAACGACATAGGTTATGAAATTATCTTAGAGGATCCGTACTGTCGGGTATTTTTTACATGATTACAAAATTAGAATATAAAATTAGAAAAGATCAAAATGCAATTCAATATATAACAAGGTATTGACACATATAATAAACATGAAATAACAGAGAATATGTTAAGATATGAATTTAAAAAAAAATGTTTTAAATTGTTATGTAAGAAGCAAGTTTCTTTAGGGAAGTGAACATGTCTTCCCGATCTGGTGACAGTTTGTGTCTTAGAGAGTTCGTTTGCAGATTTATTCTGCTGAACTGTCTTTAAGTCTTTATTTGTTTTCAGTTCAGGCAAATTAGAGTCCAAAAGCAAATAGGCTGGTTTCACACGGTCTATAGACACAGTAAGATTTCAGACCGTTAACATATGAATTGTGAAAGTTTTGTCTGTTCTAGAAAGGACTTTATGCGGACCCTGTGTATGGTTGGCACAGAGGTGGGCTTTACTCGATCGACACATAAGTATACATGCGTACACGACTTTAAGATAGCACTTTACGTAACATTTTTCTTGGCAATGTGCAGATGTTGCTATTGGATTCAATTGTTGCATTCTATGCCTAAGATTCGTGATAAATTGTGTGTCATACGGAGATATCTTAGATGACGTTATCATATCACTAGGCAGCTTGAGAGTTGTGCCGTACACCAGTTCAGCACAAGATGACTGTAGATCTTCCTTTACGGCTGTCCGAATACCAAGCATAACAACTGGTAGTGTTTCAGTCCAGTTATTGGTCTCGTGAGCCTTGAGAGAAGATTTTAAATGTCGATGAAATCGTTCAACAATGCCGTTTGACATTGGATGATAGGCTGTTGTTGTGATTCTGTTCGTACCCAAAATGCGCGTGAATTCTGCAAAAAGTGCGGATCTCATTTGAGAACCTTGGTCTGTTGTTATGATCGATGGGCAGCCATCGGAATTTCTTAATTGCAGAATAAATAGAAAATAATTCCCTATCGTACGCGGACCATTTCTGTTGACTTTTATTGAGTTTCATAGAGAAAAATGCTATAGGTTCCCATGTTTGTTGAGACAACTGCATAAGTGTGCCGCCTATTGCGACGTCTGAGGCATCTACCCAGATGCTTAGCTGGGCTCCGGGAATAGGGTGTCTCAAAAGGGTAGCCTGAGCAATGGCATTTTTTGGCAGCAATAAAGGCTTGTTCAGCATTCTCGTTCCAATTTAATTGTGGGGATGAATCCTGAACACGAGAACGAGGTTTTCTTTTTATTAATATAGCCTTCTGACAATTTTATTAAAGGAGAAAGAATATGTGCTGCTTTAGGTATGAAACATCTGTAAAAGTTAAACATGCCTAAAAAATCGGCGAAGCTGAGTGAGAGTGGTAGGTTGAGGAAAATCTAAAATACATTTGACTTTTGTCAGGAAGAGGTTCAATTCCGTTTTCACTAAGGTGAAAAACCTAAGAAATCAATAGACGTTTGACCAAAGGTGCATTTTGAAACATTTATGCAAAGTCCATATTCCTGAAGTTTGGAAAATAAAGCTTTCAAATGCCTGCAATGTTTCCTCAGAATCTTTAGAGGCTATGAGCAAAGTCATCGACGAAAGCGTAAACACCTTCTAAATCCCGCGTGACTTCATCTATAAAACGTTGAAAAAGTCGCGGATGCATTGCATAAGCCGAATTGCATACGGGTACTTTCGAATAAAACCGAATGGTGTGCATATGGCGGTTTTGTGGATGTCGGCTGGGTTTAATTGGTATTTGATGGTATGCCTTAATCAGGTCGACATGACTAAAAATTTTAGTACCGTGCAATGCAGCAGTAAAATCGGCTAAGCATGGAATAGGGTATTTGTCTTTTATCGTTTGAGCGTTCATGCTCGATAATCTCCTACAGGTCTCCATTCCAGACTTCCCTTTTTTGGAACCATGTGAAGTGGGGATGCATAATTGCTGCTCGAAGGTCTCAAATGCCCCAATGCATCATAGTTTGAAATTCTTGTTTGCTATTTTTAAGCGATCTGGAGCTAACCGACGAGGTTTTGCAACCACAGGTGGACCTTTAGTTATGATATAAGAACTGGTGGTTATGTTTAACAGGTTTGGTTAGGATCTGGTAATCTAGTAACTGAAGGAAATTCTTTTAAAAATTTTTTGATATGGTGTATCACTAAATACAGTTTTTTTACTGAATAAATGCTTGCATTTTTCACGCAACCGACGGTTTTTTAAAATGCGTTTTTAAATCTTTGAGACATTTGTTTCTGAGATCAGGGACCAATTCAAAGAAAATGGAGAAAAATCTCTGCTCAAGAATGGGTGTACTAACATTTGCTATAAGAAAGTCCATGTAAACTGTCGTCTTAATTTGAAATCCAAAGAAAGTTTTTTTTACCATAAACATGAATAGTAGAAGAATTAGCAGCGAAAAGTGTTTGTTGGGGACGAATTCCGTTTTTGAGAATTATTTGCTGGAAGTAAGGACACGTCAGAGCCGGTATCGACCAAGAATGAAAGGTTTGTTCTACGGTCACGAACGAACAGGCGACGTGAAACTTGAGGCAAAGAATAAGTCGCCTCTATTCTTTGCTGGTTTCGTTTCCCTGCCATAAACAAGGTTTTGTACATTTGTCATCCCTACACTTTTTCCCAAAAAAACGTCTATGATACCAGCAAACAGAAATAATCTCTCCTTTTGGATTGCTTCTTTCCTTATTGCGATCTCCGCGATTTTGGCGAGCGACCACGAGAAAGAGAAATGCGATCAATACGTTTGTTTAATTTTTCTATTTGTTTAAATAATTTATCCTCAAGAGACTGATCGACTGTGCGAGAAACGGCACAAGTCCCTGGGGTTGGATTTACTTCTAAAATTCTGTCGGCAATTTCTGCAGCCTTTATCTGCAGTTAAATTGGAAACCGCTGCAAAAATAGACTGAACATTCGAAGGCAAACGTTGAAGGAATAATTCTAACATTAAGTTATCAGGAACATTTAAAGATTCTGCTTGACGTTTCATATTGCTAAGCAAATCGGATAGGTTTTCGAAGAACATAATTCCTCTCCAGATAATAATTGGCGAAATTTCTTGCTGAGAAGATTCTCCTGAACGATTTATTAACTCATTTTAAGTTTGCAATGGATCAATAGGGTCTGGTTTCATAAGTAAATCACACTAGAGATGCTATATCTGGAGGAAGATGAGCAACTACATAATTATATTTAGTAATGGATTGTGTGCTAGGTTTGGGGGTGGCAAGAGCAAAAGGTACTTTTCACACAATAAACCATAAAGATGGGTCTGATCGGTTATAAACCGGAATTTGGACGGCAGAACATCAACATTGTGCAAGGTTTTTAAGCCAAAATAAAAGCAAAATTTTACTAAAGAAATGAAAGTTAAATGATAATTAGAAAACAGAATTATAAATGTCTATATTACTACTCATCTGTGATTCGGAGGATGAAAACCGATGTAATCCCATTACTTCTGGTTTGGAGATCTTGAGTGATGGCTTGTAGTCAAAACCGAAAGTGCTTGAGAACTGTTCATACGATTTAACACAGTCCGGGTTACCATTCTGGAGATTTCCGGTTATGTTTTACCACCAATCCTCGAATTCCATATCACAGATTATGTTCTTACTGCATTAATATAAATATTAACAAGACATAGTGCACAATAAAAATTAAGCTTTATTTAGGAACATCGCGCATACTCCCCGACAGCCTGCCTGTTTCGCTCTGCTCGCTACTCGTAAGAAATTTCTCCTCTAGGGTTGCCACACTTATCGGAGGGCGCAAGGCGCGCTCCTTATCGCCATCACCACAATCCCCTCCCCTTTTATTGTAATTAGAAATATCCATAAACCTTTGATTAAATAACTTTTTTTTTGTTCTATTTTTGTGGTACTTGACTTTGTGCTGGCACATTGAAAAAATGCTTTGTATCAGTGTTTCTAATAAAAGAAACTGAATATATTGCTGGCATATATTTTGGGAAGAGTAAAAGTATAACTCTCAAAGCAGCAAGCTATATATATGTTAAAAATATTTCTCATGTTTTGTTTAAGTATGTAGGCATACCTCTTGGCAATTCCATTGTATATGTATTGGAAGGAAAGGAATTAAAGTAAAAAATGGGAGGTACATTCTGGAATAATATTCAAGAAAATATAATTTAGTCATAACTCTTTAGGGAGTTTAGGGTTTGGAGGCCATTCCTCGGTCACTTGGAGGGTTAAAGAAATACTTCAGCTATGATTTGTCTATGAAAAATGTATTTATGACTTTATATTTCATATTATTTTTCTCTTTTAGAAATAAGTTGAAGATAATTTTTTTATAACAGCCTTTAATTTTTTTTTGCTATTTGATTATGAGTAACAAAGCTAATTTAAAAAATTATTTTGCTTTACATATGTTGAAAAAGAAATTGTTACTTTTAGACCCATTTTTCTATATGTTTTGGATAATAAACTATTTGTAAGAAAGTTATGAAATAAAAAATAAAATCTATATATTATTTGCAAATTTTTACATCACTTCTACATATACTATACCTAAATTTAAATGTATGTAAAAGCATATTAGATGCTGTAATAAATTTTGTCTTGATATAATAATATAAATCATGAAAATTAAGAATTAAAATAAGTTTTCAGTGTAAAGTAAGTTTCCAGTGTGCTTCAA